TTTTTATTTGGAGTTTATCTGAAAACTATGCTTTATACCTACTTACTACTCCTACTACTATTATATACGAGTACGAGTATATTAAAATATGCCTAATTGATAGAGTGATTCAATTAAAAATAAATGCTTCAAATTTAAACAAAACATAACAAACTTTTCCTACAATCAGCTATGGCTCTGGTTCTGGTGCGTTTCCACAGAAGAGACGAGACAGACACCTGATCAACAGCTGTTTATGCCCTGACTGGCACTGGCAGACCACTGTGTCGACAGTTCCCATGAAAAAACTCAAATTGCAGTGGAAAATTTTCAAATGTGGGTGCAGAAATCGACGGCCAGACGACACTACTCGTCTATGATGGGGTGAGAGAGATGAGAGCCTATGTGCGTTTTGCAGGGGGCCTATAGGGGGGCCGATTTCATTTGGTAGCGTAATTTTTGCCAATTCAATTAATGCTCATTTAGTGCACGGCAGACGGTCATCAAGCAGCCCAGCATCATATTGGCATACAAAGGCATACACATAAACCACAAAGTGGACACTTTAAGTGACCGCAAATGGTCGTCTGACCACAAATTCAGTGGCTGATCGATGGAATTCGTCAAGAGGGGTGCGGGGGTCCTTAAATGCATAAATAGGATGGTTTTTGTTTGTTCTATTTTTTCTATCCTACCCATCTTTTCTGATTGTGAGCGACCAGCCCGACTAAAAACAGTCCCCGCGTCATGCTGCAGCGCCCCTCGGTCGGTTTGGCCGCATTTCTGCCTGAGATCCAGAAGTAACCGACTTGGCCTTGGATCCCAAAAGTAAAAGGTTTCCATAATAACTCATAATACCTTTGGTTTCATTTGGATCATTCGGGAACCTTCTACTGGTCCCCCATGTATCACAACCGCCGCCTATGCCAAGTACTCGTAAGTAGGAAGATTTAGCTGTGGCCCAACTGCAGAGCACACACATAGCTTTTTATGATAATAATGCTTCAACAGTGGAGAGGGGTGGGCCCGAAACAGCTGATCGGACAGCCATCTGAGGCAATACGATGCTCTGAATGTGGCATACACTCTGAAGTAATTGCAATTAGCTGCCTTCATTTGATTTCATTTATAACAAATAAATGGACATGGACATGCACATGCACATACTGCATGCTGCACAGCTCCATATACCCCACGTACTCATTCAGAATGAAGCCTTTCTGGTCTTTATGTATTTAAGGTGTTCAAGAAACTGGGGTCTTTTTGGTTAAGAGAGAACTAGGAATAGCCGTACGCATCCCTAGCTAATTAATCTCTATCTATACCATACCATATACATACATACATACATATGTCTAGATTAAAGCCTCCTTAGTTGAGCTCTACTTCAACCGAGAAAAATATTCCATAATGAGGTTTAAATTATTCATAGCGAGTGCAACTCAATTGAGCGCCACTCAAAAATCGCCGCCCCCACAATTGAGTGCGGCAGCGTCAGCGTCCACACGCGGCGAAGGTATAAAAGCCACAGCCGGGCAGTCCACAGACAACAGTTTCCTCTTGTAGAGCATACAGCAAGCAGCCAGTTCTAAGCCGAGTCAAATCTTAAAACACACACACACACATTCCAAACATGAAGAACGCCGTTGCCATTTTGCTGTGCGCCGTGATCGGTCTGGTGAGTAACATCTAATGATGCACATCTTATCCACTAATCAAAAATCCCCAATCCAAAACACAGGCCTCTGCCGCTGACGAGTACAAACTGCGCACCGCAGAGGATCTGCAGAAAGCCCGCAAGGAGTGCGGCGAGACCAACAAGGTGACTGAAGCGCTGGTGGCCAAGTACAAGACGTTCGAGTATCCCGACGATGAGATCACCCGCAGCTACATCCAGTGCATCTTCCACAAGTTCGATCTGTTCGACGATGTCAAGGGATTCAAGATCGACCATTTGGTGGCCCAGCTGGGTCAGGGCAAGGAGGATAAGGCTGCCCTGAAGTCTGACATCGAGAAGTGCGCCGACAAGAATGAGCAAAAGTCCAGCGCCAACGCCTGGGCCTATCGCGGCTTCAAGTGCTTCCTGGGCAAGAACCTGCCCCTCGTTCAGGCTGCCGTCCAGAAGAACTAGGACCGTGGGGACACGCCGTCCAATTCTAGAATCTAGCAAGGGAGCCGTTCGGGCTCTGCAGTTTCTACAATTGAAAGAAAAGCCATATAATAAAGTGCTTGAATGAAAATGAAGTTTCGTTTATTCTTTTCTTTAACATTTTTTGAATAATTTATTTATTTAATATTGCTGCTGAATGGTATGGCTTCGGCGCATCTACTGCTGGTGGTGGTCCTTTTTCTGCTTCTCGCTGGCTGGCTGTCTGGCTGGCTGATGGAGGAGCAGGGCTTATTTTTGTCCCTAATTTGTCCCGCCCAAAAGGAAAGGCGTGAACGCTTGCTTGTTTAATTCGTTTATATTTGTCATCTTGTTTCTTCTTCTTGACAGAAAAATGCAATCTTCTTTTATTTTTCTTTTTCTTTACTCTATTTATATTTTTTGTCGAATATATGTATAAACGAAAGACCGTAATTTCATTATTATTTTTCTGTTTTATCTATTTTGTGGTTTTCTTTTCTGTTTATTTATATCCCAAGTATTTTGTCATCTTTTAGTCTATTGCATTTTTATTCTTATTTTTTCATCCTTCTTTTACTCGAGTTTTTGCCATCTTTTAACTTCTTTTCTTTTCGCTTGTGGTTTTCGGTTCTCTTTTGTATATATATTTTCTCATTTTTTAAAGCCACTTCTCTCGAGTTTTTCTTAATTTTTTTTTGTTTGGATTTTTATTTTCGATCTGCTTTTGATTTTTTATTTTTGAAAATAAAAATATGTGAAAAGAGGGGTGTTTGGTGTTTGGGTGCTTCAAAAAACATTATAGCCAAGTCCATGTTGATTTTTTTGTAGATTTTGTTTTCATCTTTTTCGCCTGTTTTTTTGTAAATATATTTGTTTGCTGCTGTTCTTTTTTTTTTGAAATTATTATTAAAACAATTCTAATAATTTTTTCTGGCATTTTCTCTTGTTTGGTATGTTTTCTCTTTTCTTTTCTATTTTATTTTATTTTATTTGTTTTCTATTTAGCAAAGAAGTTTGGCAATAAAATAATGTTTTTTGAAATAAATTGGTAAAAAAATCTGAAATCAAACATTGATTGTATTAAAGAAATGTTCAGTGTGGTCAAAGCAAATGCACGCATTATCAGTCGCCCCATGCAGGCTGCAGGCATTGGCATTGATCAGGTAATATCTATCAGTCGGTCCATATACACGTGCATATACGGATGGTATTGGCCACTGCCAAGTGGAAAGTAGTCCCCCCCAAAAGTTAACCCAGTTTCTGTTCAGAGTTTCAGTTCAGTTCGCACGAGTCCGGGTTGAATGGGTGGACTTACCTTACTAGTGGGTTCTATTTAACAATGATCAGTAGGGAGCATAGTAGTTGGCACGGCCGCGGTAACCCCTTCTGAAACGAAACACAGACCGGAATTAGCGCACTCCACTCGGGGGAACGGTTGAAGGGTTGGCAATGCCACACTTACATTGCTCGTCGTGCGCCTCGGAAGGTAGAGTGACAGCAGGCTCTCGAGGCACGAGCTCCTCGCCCTCGGAAACTGCCACGGGCAAAGCGATTTGTGGTGGAGAGGCCAGGGCGGTTTGTGCGCTTTGACATGACCTGAAATCAGACATGAAATTATAAAAATGTCGAAAATAATTCACAATAGTCGAAGTGAGTCATGAGGAGGCTATCTCTCACCTTGATCTGTCGACCTCTGAACAGGGTTTCGTTCATGGCCAGGGCCGTCTCAACGAACTCCTTTGAGCCAAACTCAATGTAGGCAAAGCCCTTTGGATGGCCATCCGCCTTGTTGCACAGGATAGTGACCCTGTTGATGGTGCCGCATCCATGGAAATGTGCCTCGAGCTCCTCCGCAGATGCCCCGTAGTCCACATTCCCCACATAGACGGACCTCGTGTCAATCTCCTGCTTCTCCTCGAGGGAAAGCGGCACTGCGGCTAGACCGGTTGTGGACCCACCGGCCATTTGTTTGTCCACTTCGGACTGCATTTGCTTTATTTTTTCGGCCTCCTCCTCCATCTCTTTGACGCGGGCCTTGATGGCCTCCAGCTCGGGATCGATTTGCATGCTGCCTTCCTCCTGTGTTCCACAATTGTTTAATATAGGAAGAATGCAAATTGGTTAGCTGTATTAAGAAGGTAATTCTGGAACGCCCAAAACTTTGCAGACAATGAATGAATGGACGCGCTACGAACGACGCTTTGAAAATGGCTGCCTTTTTGGCTTTGAGCTTTGTGCCGCCAAAAGCTTTTCGCAAGAAATTCTGTGCTTTTGCAAGGCAAATAAAAAACTCGTTTGGCTCACTTACCTCCGTCTCTGTCACAATTTCAGTCTCCTGCTCGCCATTAGTCTCTTCCATCGACTCCAAGAGCTGGTCCTCGTTCAATGTGATATCTTCATCAGCCATTTCTTGTGCTAAGTTTTGTTTGTGGTTTTTGGTTTTGTTTACGTTCAGCGAGCTTTCGTTCTTACGCTTTTGCTCTCAGCGGCTTCTAAGGTACGGAATTTAGCGTAGTTCACTGTTATTGATAGAGGGCGGCGCGGCCGCAAACGAGAGAGAGCGAGAGAAAATTGAATTAGTAATCTTTCGACACCAATATTCACTTTTTAAGTTAGATTTTGATTCATTGCTCGAAGGTATTGCACAATGCCAGCAAAACTTCACACGGCGTGGCTATTTATCAATTTACAACTCACGTAGAAAATTGTACAAAAGGTGCTGACGTTTTTGCCTTTGCTCAAAATGGCCGCTGCCCAGTCTATTCGACGCACGCACTGTACAAAATATGATTTGTAGATGATTTCCAGATAGCGACACTTTTTGGATGTCTTGCTGCGTTTATTCTCGGGCTAATCTATGTTTTCACTACGTTTTAAAGTGCGCAATTTGTATTATTTACAAAAAGAACACACGAAAATTTTGCCACCGAAATTATATTCATTCGGCCTCGTTGCTAGGGATGATGTTGAGTATATCGAATATATACTGATATATCGAGTAACTGTTAAATCATCCCTGTGTAGTTGCCATGAAGCAAATGTGTAGTTACCGTGTAAGAACAATTTATTTTGTTGAGCTTCCTTGCACATCAAAAACAATCAAATAAAAGAAGGTGCTCACAGCTAGCTAATCTTGTACAAAATTGGATTATGAATGATTCTGATTCTGAGTACGAGGAAACCGAGTACTTGGTGTTTGCGGATTTTAAAAACCAATTGCCTCCTCACCTGCTTAAGCACGAGAATGCTGCGATTAAAATTATAGGAGTTGAGAGCGACCACCCCATGGCCGAGGTAAATGGCAGCATTTACAAAGGCACCTACGAGCAATCCACGGGGACGAATGTGTTTTTCGAAAAGGACACGGATCGTTCGCCGGCTGACCCGCTTTTCGAGGCAGCCTGTCGACAGAAGTACCAATACCTGGACAAGTCTGACAAAGTCATTTCCTTCGAGCGCGTTTACATAGAGAATTTACCGCCAGAGCCCGAGAAATCCACAAAGGTGCAAGAGCCGGTCATTGCCGAAGACACGGACACGCCGCAGACAACGAAGCTGAATATCAACTATAAGGAAGCAATAAATAAGTTCGGAGAGGAGCATTAACCTAGGGTATGCCTGTGATAGTCCCACTTCCGAAGCACGAATCACTATAGCTCTTTGATTGTCATTTTAGCGCCATGGAAATTTATCTCGAGACACTGGAACGACCCATAAATTTACGTACTTTTCTATCCGATTACCAAGAAAAACTGCCCAAGGCAACTGGCGCGACAGAGACAGTGCCCTTCTTCTTTTCACCAACCTCGCCAGTGTCTGTGGATGTGGAGAAAAGTTGCTCATTGGATTTGATTTCATCGCCAGACGAAAACTTAATCCACATCTTTCAGCCCGGCGATGATATCATTCGCTCAAATTTAGTAAAGCCAGCGACCGATCGAGATGTGCCCAAACTCTACACAGCCCTTAGCGCGCACAAGGAAAACTCTCGCAAGAGTTCCTTCGGACGCACCCAATTCAGCTACAGACTAATCCCACCACCGTCTGCAAATAATAGTGTACCCGTGGCCAGGCCACTGGAATCACCCGAACTACAGATTACAGTCCGTTTCTACCGACCAGCACGGGCGACGCATAAAGGCCTGAAGTTAGAAAGTCCCGTATTTGCTGAGGAATTTGTCTGTCTTGGCAGCAACTATCTCACGGAGCTGCGCGACAAGATTTTCTGCATCTGCAATGGCAAACGTTTCGTGGACGTTAGCAATGATCCGGATGCACCTTTGCCCAATCTAGAAACCAATCCGGGCTACTTCTTCATCTACGATACCTTTTATAACGACAAACGCAATCCGGACAATTGCGATTATTCGGAGACGGTGCTCCAGTGGGCCGAAAAGGCGCAGGGCTTGCAGGGCGAACAGTTCAAGGTGGCAAATATGGAGAGCACACGACTCATTGACCTCACTGTGAGACCGGGCGCACCTCTGCACTACCTGCACCATGGAAGCTGCGAGCACCTGTTTGTTTTCTCACAAATTGAAGTCCTGCCAGCCCACGCCAGTCGCCTGCTGGACAACAGCTTATATCCGCATGTGCGCGCCCTTAACATCTACAATCGACGCAGCTGCTATATGTGCGGCCTCCGTGGCTACGAGTTCATTGTCGAGAAGTCGCTCCGTCAGCTGCACGATCCCTCGTACCTGTGCCGCAGATGCTTCCTAAGCTTCCACTATGTGAACGGCGAGAAGGTGGGTCAATTCCAGGCCTATCGCATATATGATCGCCCCGAGTCCTTGGACGAGGATGCAAAGGCCACAGAAGATGGCGGTGATGCCATGGATTTAGAAGCATCATAAAACCCTCAAATAGATGCAAACGAATGTGATTTTGTTGTATTTTTGGTTTGGTTTTTATTTGCGAACTCGGTAGACAGCAATACATTCAATGAGTGTTATTTGATATATTCTTATAGTTTTAAATAAAATACATACACATTGTAACAAGAGTAATTGTAATTGGCGTTAAACAGATTAGATTCAGTTTACGTCAAGCTGCCTAAATTCTGTTCGGTGCAACCATATCTAGATTAGCAAAAAGATTTGTTTGTGTCGACGCTAGGAATCAATAAAAATGCGAATACTTGTACGTACAATAATACATCATTATCTGAGTCTGACTTAAGGCTAACGTTAATACATTCACTTCACGTGTAGTGGCTTGAATTTACAAATATAAGGTAGCTGTTTGCGTACAGAATAGTACAGATTGGACCCAAGACACTCTTGGGGAAAACGAATCAATCGAGTGAGTTATTTTTGCCAATAACATATACATAGGTTGTTCGTATCCTAGATACGACTGGGAGGGGGGGAAGTTTACCTATCATTATATCAAATACAGTAAAAGCAAACACAACATAAACGTTTTGTGCACGTACGTACGCGTAAAGAGTTCGGTGCGCTTAGTAACTTTGGAGCGAAGAGAAATGCATCAAAAAACATACATATGGCCAACATTGAATCTGCATTTACATTTGCATTTGCCTTGCTTTGAATTCTGTTCAAGCAACACAATCCCAATAAATATCATTAACTGTCTGTCACCCTCTTTGGTTTACTTGTTTGCCTTTGTTTACCTTCCGTTTTTAAAGCTATAACCAGCAGCTGTTCTGCAGACATCTGTACTTAGCTTTGAAAGACCAGCTCGCGCTCAACGGACAAGTATTCCCGCATTTTCACTGGCACTGGCAGCTTGGCCAGATGTTCGGAGCTCATTTGCCGCTGGAGGACACGCCGACAAAGGTCTTGCAGCTTGGGCATGTTCAAGTATCGACTGAGGGGGTACTTTAAGATCACCGGAAAGGGCGGCTGCATTTCATTGGGCACCTTCACGAAGCACACAAAGTTATCGTTGGTGCAACGATGCAAAATGTCCTCGATCATCTCCACAATCGACTCGTACTTGAGCTCCTCAAAGTTCCAGAACTCATCCTTGTACTCGAGACGGTAGTGCAGCGTTACATTCACAATACGAAAGCTGAGTGTGAACTGGGATCCGCTGGTCTCCGAGTCGCGCACGAGAAACGATCCGGTCGGCTTGTCGCTGAGCTGGCGCTGCGCATCTCGCCTGGAAATCTCGCCCCAGTACCAAACTTGACTGAAATGCAAATGAGGCCACAAAGAGGGCGTGAGTCATTATCGATGATCGAATTAAGAGTGGAATGGTGCGCTTACTTGAGCATCTCTGAACAGGCCTTGTACATGACCTCGTTTGGCGTGTCCTGTCGATCCAGCCACTTCTTCTGGATGAAACGTAAGTAATCGTGTGTGAATGGCAACGTGGGCTCAACGCAAATGGACGGTGTGAGGAACTCGTAGGTCGCGTCAGTAGTGCCTCCGTCACAGTCGGAGTCGCCCATGGAGTTCCAGTTACGCAGGGAGCTCAAGCCCTGCCCCATCTTCCTGCGTAGACGTGAGAACACATTCCGTTTGTCCTTCCGTTTGCGCAGAGTTGTTCCCCCGTTGCTGTGACTGCTGCTGCTGGCGCTGCCAATGACCATGGAAGCATCCCCTGCATTTGGGACACAGGCCTCGTTGTTGTTATTCTGCATCTGAGAAGATGACTGGGCCACAGCGTCACTGGAAGTGGGCGAAGCGACCAGGGCAGAGTCTGACTTTTTGCGCCTGGTCAGGGAATGAAACCAACTTCGTTTTTCCTTTGTTGAATCCGCGGACCGCTCCCCCCCATCGGCGCCCTGATTCTGGTTATTTTGGCTGTCGTCGCCGTTGCTCATTTTGGAGTTGGAACAGTATCCACGTGTCTGTATCACATCATTATACCATACCTAATCGGAGCTATGATTAATGCTACTTAAATTTATTGATAAGAATTTGTTTTCCTTTCGTTGGAATTACAATAAATACTAGGGTTGGGAAAAAATCGATAGCGCTATCGATACTATCGATTGATACCGATAATTTCATTTTTTCTTTGATACCGATAACTTCGATAGCTATCGATAGCCCAAAATACCGAGAATTCAATAAAATACTGAAAACTATTTTGTAATGCTACTTAAATTTATTAACTTAATTCCTCTGACTAAATAGTTGTCTAAGTTGTTCTTGCTTTATTCAGTCTCGGACTATTAAACACTCAGACAAATTAACTATTTCGGTAGCGAACTCAGGGATGCTTTTTATTGGGTAAACGATAAGAAGAAGATTAAAGCAGAGCATTTTCCAATTTAAAAATCTAAAATAAATAAAAGCATGGAATCGTTTACTATGAAAGTGAACCTTACTAACTTCTTCAGCGACGAGCGTCAGCATGCATTGATATTGATCGACAGCGCATGGAAAAATATAAAGGATGTGCAGCAGCACATTCAGATCCTGTTTAATTTGGTATGCGGAAACATAAACAAAACATTCAAAAAGTTTATACTCCCACATGTCTCTTGCAGAAGGATATACGTTTGCTAACCAATTCTGGATACTTTCTGCCGCCTATGGAGTCTCTGAGGGTGCTCAAAGATGCTGGTGGATTGAAGTAAGTGAGCCAATGGCAGTATTGCAAGAAATTTGTCTCCAAGCGCCCCAATCCATTGCAGGGCCTTCACATTTAATGAACCACCACCCGCCAGCGTTGAGGGAGGATGCAAAAAGACTGGCAATAAGCGGAAGAAATCGTTCGTGGAAACCGAGAGCTCACACCACAGCCCCCCTTTGGATCAGCCAAAGCGTTCTAAGCACAGAAATAAATCGACTTTGCAAGTAATTACACTGAATGGCACAAATGATGACAAGGTGACCCCCGTTTTGGGAAATTCATTAGTTGCCTGCAACAACACCACTGAAGCCGAGGCGCCACTCTCCAACTCCACTCTGAATGCGTCAAAGCGTTTTAAACAGAGAGACAAATCGACCTTGCTTCAAATTCCTCCAAATAGCGCGAATGAAACCCAGAGGCCAATGCCCCAATACAGTCCCGAATTAGATAATTCAAATTCAAATGACGATGACAACAGCAAAACTGAACCACCAGTCGAAAGCCTATCTAAAACTGGCAATATCCTTGGATCCGAACATCAGATAAGCCGTTCCAGTCTTCAAATTGTTTTGGGACCAACCCAGCCATCCGAGTCACAAGAGCCAAAATCTAGAGCAAAAGAAAATATTTCAACATTATTGGTGCCTGAACCGACGCCAATTGCGTTTCGTTGTCCGCTTATGGAGCTGGACTCCAACAAAGTACGCACATATAAAATTTCATTTAAAGCAAAATCCGCGCAAGATATTCCCAGAAAATTGCAGGAAAAGCAAACAGATTCCGATGAACACATCCAATTGGCTACTTCCAAAGCTGCCACGCAGGAACCTGCACTATTGGGCGACCCCTCCGAAAATACAACTATAGTTGACGCTGGAGCAGAAACGGAAACAGAAGCTGTGGCACCCTCAGTAGATGTGAAAATGGTTCCCAGACGTGTTTGTGCCGAGACTATAAATTGTGATTCCGAGGACGATGTCATGGTGCTGGACGACACTAATGTGGATGTAGATTCGGATGTAGAAGTGTCCCAAGTTGTCACAAGTAAGGGTGAGCAGTAAATTGAACTTTAATTCAGGCTCCAAAGGAATGAACAAATCTGTTTTTAGACTGTCAGACTAATGATTCTATGATGGAAATATTTGAGAATGCATCTCCGCTAAAGGATTTGCCAAAAAGGGGTGACACAATACTATTCAAGCTAAGGAAAATCAAGGGATCAATGGGCTCTGGACTAACCGGAGTTATAACTGCCAGCTGTACCTACATCAATCGCCGCACGAAAGCCGTTTCAATGGAAGTGAAATGTAAGAGAAACTATTAACGTCTCCCTTCTCCGATTCAATTGCTGATGTTATCTATATTTGCAGCATCTCCTGCTGGCATCAGCCATGTACTGAGTCAGTACTCAAACAGTTTAGACGACTCATGCGAAGAGATGCCCTCGTTAATGGTCAATATGTCAGATCTGATTGAAGCAAAGCGCCCCAAATAATGTTAAAAGCATTTACATACATTCTGGTGTTCTATTTTCATAGCTTTGTAAATTATATAAACAATCAAATAACATGCAAATGTAAGATTTATTGAAAATGCGGTCGGGGTCCTTCACTTGGTGTACTCTTGAATCTTCGCCAGTAACTCGTCGGCCTCTTCGCCGGTCTTCACGCGCAGTAGAATCGACGCCACTTTGGTGTCCTCCGGCATGGGCAAGCTCATAAGCATCACATTATTTTTGCCCATGCGTTGGCAGGGAAGGCCATTGACGACTATAAGATTGATCAGAACCTGACCAATATTGTTATCGGCACGAACAATTAGCTGCGCCTTCGCCGAGTCCTTCACGGGCTTCAAATGCAGCATGCCCACCCCACGATCGGCATAATCCTTGCCCTTCTTAACAAACACTTTGCAGCGCTTGGAGTATACAGAATCCTCTTCGACAACCTGCAAAAGATCAGCGTTTTATCTCCAGTCTATGGGGATCACTGCAATATGTATTTACCTGTTTGAACTCAACCTTCGGTGGCTGGTCTTCTTCATCCTGGTCTTCTGTATTGCAAGCGGTCTCTGCAGCTGCTGTCGGCGGCTTTATATTGCCAAAGGAGAAGGGTGTGGCTCCAGGGGTGAACGAGAAGCTAGTTGAAGGCTTGGCATCTCCTCCAGCCGCTCCAGCTGCACTGCCGAATCCCACAAATAGCGATGAGCTACCGCCAGGTTTGTCATCGCTGCCACTCTTAAATCCAAAGCTAAAGCCATTTGTTTTCAGTGGCACGGCGGCTGTTTCGGCCTTGCTGCTGGAATTATCTTTAGCCCCAAGGCCAAAGAAGCCTGGCTTGGATGCATCCTCAGCTTTGCTCTCTCCCAAAGGCTTTGGCGAGAAGCGCATCATAGCCGGGGTGGAGGTAGGTGTTTTCGTAGACGACGCAGAAGCTGCTGCTGCGTTGGGGGACCCAGCTGGAGTGCTACCAAAGGAGAACAGAGGTGTGGTTGTGGTGGTGGTTGTGCTGCCGCTGGTAATCGTGCTGGTAGTCGGCTTCTTGGCCAAGAATGGCGACGTCGAGCCAGTGTTGGGAGTGGCAGGCTTGCCAAACGAAAACGGAACTGTATCGGCGACTGGTGTTGCCGCTGGGATGGTCGGCATCTTCGGCGGAGTCGATCTTGCTGGAGTCTTCATTGACGAGTTTGCCTTCGTTTCCTCGTCCTGCAGTTCCTTTAGATGCTCGTCATAATTTTGAAGTACTGGAGTCAGTACGCAGTAGGGACTCTTGTCCAGGCATTTCTTCAGAAACTTCAGCAGTGCACGGTTCAAGTCGGCCACGTTCTCTCGGTACTCAGAGGAACCCGTGCTGGGGGCTGCTGTCTTGCTGGGCGATGGCTTATTACTTGGCTTGGCACTGGCTGGCACGGTTACCGCACTGCTCTCTTTTTTGGCAGCCAAACTCTTGCCGAAAATTGAGTTGCTTGGCGTGGTACCATCTGTGGTACTGGTGCACACCTTTACTGCAGTCTTTTTAGCCCCAGACGAGACCGAGGGTATGTTGGCTTCTTTTTTAGCAGTAGACACGTTTCCGAAAATTGAAGTGGAAGGAGTGGTACTTGCCGCTGCTGCAGTGGCTACGTCTCCAAGGGACGACGAGGGTTTGGCGTTGTCTTTTTTAGCGGCTGACGCGTTGCCGAAAATAGAAGTGATTGGTGCAGCTGTTGATTGCTTTACAGGCATTGTTGTGCTTCCGAAGGAGAACGAAGGAATGGCGGCATCCTTTTTGCCTACGCTGCCAAAAAATGGCGTAGTAGTGCTGCTGGCCGACGCAGGTGTGGAATCTTTTTTAGCAGCATACACGTTGCCGAAAATTGATGTGGATCCCGCTCCACCGCTGGTACTTGCCGCTGAGCTGCTGCCAAGGGACTGCAAAGGTGCTGTCACCGTCTCGCCATCTGGCTTTGTATTGATTTTGCTGGAACTGGACAAAAACGAAAATGTGGCCTTTGACGCTTCGCCACTAGTAGAAGCCGGCGGCGGATTCGATAGGTATGCAAACGGCGAGCCTGCAGCCAATGCGTTAGCCGGCTTGCCAAAACCTGCAAGCCCCATCAAATAAAACATTATGTTTGATCAAAAAATGCTCGTTTGCAATTGCACTTGCCTGAAAATCCACTGAAAATACTTTTCGAAGTGTCGCTGCCGCCGCCGTCGCCATCCGCGCCGGCACTAGCAATGGAGCGGCGCGCCTTCTTGATAACGCGTGTTTTCAGCTCCTCCTGTGTTGCGGTCTTGAAAATGCCACGATCCTCAGGCTCCTCCTCCTGGTCCCAGTTATCATGGTTAAGATTTGATGTGGCTTGGCGCTTCCCAACCATTTGATAGCAACTTTGCGGTAATGCGAGAGAAAAGCGAGAAAAAGAATTATATAGATTTTATTGGTGGTACTTCAGTGTGACCGCGGATTTATTGATCAAATATACCGTCTGACATCAGAAATATACCGGAATAAATCTTCTCGTCTTTAAAATATACCGAAAAGCTTATAACACTGAAAACGGTTACGGTCTAGAGTTTGAAAAATCAAAGATGTTTTCCGTTGAACGAGTTATCTATTGCTGAAATAAATGGGAAAGACGGTTTTATATGACTTTAAAAACTAGATCCAGATCCAATTAATGCAGAAACTACTCAGTCTCTGTTTCAGAGATATTAACGAAATTTGGCATATCACGGGTTCCAATAATAGGTATCAGAACCGGGATAAATGTATATATAAAACACAAACATGTGCATTTATAGTTAAAAAACATGTCAATCTAGGATAAAATCATAAATAATGTTTCAATGGAGCTTGGAAGAAAACTTTTCACACCCATTGAAAGAAATAAGGTATACAAAAGTACATACGCATAGAAGATACTTGGTTGACCAGCAACACTGACGTCACATTTAGTCAACATTTAAGTTTTATGCTTTGGCCGGTTTTGTTTGAACCTTAATATGTAAACAATCCAATGAAAAAGAGTTCTAAAAACTAACCAATCCTGAAGGAAATTTATGTATCTATCGGATAAAATTATTTGTTTACGGCTGAGAGGGCCAACTATCTAGTAATATTAAACTGAATATCAAAATTGACGAATTTCATATCACAAAATATCACGGTATGGCAGCCCGCAGCAACTACGAATTGCACGAGTCTGGCAGCGCCACAAAACGACGACAAATTCGTTTTATGCTGTTTTTGTTTGAACCTTAATATGTAAATAATCCAATAAAACGGACTTCTGAAAACTTGCCAATCTCTTAAAAAATGTATGTATCTATCGGATAAAATTATTTGTTTAGGGCTGAGAGTCCCAGCTAGCTGGTAATATTAAACGGAATATCAATATCGAGGAATATCAACGTCGAATGTTTTGAAAAAACAATCGATACTATCGTGATAGCTCTAATAATTATTAAAACACCATTGAAACCTTTTAGGAACTTGTCCATTGTAAAAATTAGATGCCACCTGTCGATTTGCTTACAAATTTTTCTTCGTATTTTATAGCAGCCAATCCAAACATATCAAAAGCGCAACGACTGTAGCTCGATAATATCATGATAGTCGCAAAACCGTCGATAGTAGAGACTAGCAGTAAAATATCGATACTATCGATAGTGCCCTCGATGGTTTGACACCTCTAATTGAGACGCCAGCAGCACAAAAAATCGCAATAAAACAAAATAGTTAATTTATTAAGCACTCGAGAGCCATTAATTATGCCCCAAGTGCAAGTGTGCAAGTGCTAGATCAAATATGGGGCACACAGTGAACTGCTGTGAAAATGCAATGCGCATTTCTCTATTCCAACGTTAATTGCGCTGCTGCTGTCCATAGTACCAAAAAAAATCAAATCGCGGGGAAGAGAGTGCTAGGATGATGAGAAGGCCCCAGTGCGTAAATATGTGATATGTGTGTGTGCGAGAGTAACTAGCAGTGCAAGGCAAGGGAAAGTGTAACTCAAATAATAATACTAGTAATCCAAAGGCAGGCCAGAGCGCAGACCATAAAGTGAACAAATAAAAATACAAATTCGCTCCACGAAAATAGAACACTACGTTCGCGCACCTACAAACACACACCCTCTCAAAACGCACGCACACTCGCATACCAAACGCAGTCGTCGCCCATCGAAGAGGCGTTATCCTTATTCTTGTTGCTCGCTGCGCTGCTGCTGCCCGCCTCTAGTGCCATTCGTTTTGGTCCTTTTCTTTGTCGCTTCTCGCCACAAGGCCAGCAGCAGCACGGCAGCTGTGCCTGTGCCGTGTGTTCGCGCCGTGCCGTGCCCCGAAGTTTCTATTCGTTGCTTCCCTCCCTCCCTCCATTGACATCGCACTCTAACTCGTACTCGCTCCGTGTGCATGTCCTTGGGCGTAAAGTGTTGTTGTTGCTGTTGTCGTTGCCGTTCGATTCGTGTCCGAGAGTGAGAGCAAGTCGAAGCCGAACAAGATGCCGCCAGCCCTGATAGCCATCTCCGAGTTCGTGGAGGAGACGCGCTCCGATTACAGCTCTCCCACCACCTCCACCTTCGCCTCGCGAATGCCGGACTGCCGCCAGACGATTGGCATTCTGGAAGAGGTAAGCAATGATTTGATGGGTTGGGTGCCAATTATTATAAATAAATCGACGAATTCCCTGGAAAAGTGATTGTGTCGTGGGGTGCAGTACCCAAAGAAGGGGCGTCGGCGTCTCCCACCTTCCCCCATAACGATTAGAAGCAACAAAAAAGATTTCTATGAATTGGCTCGGCGCCAATTTGTCTCTTTCTCTCTCTTGTTCTCTCTTTGGCGCGCGCGTGCTCTCTCGCTGCTGCCGCTGCAAGGTGGTTTTGCTTCAACGCGGGACGCGGGATGCGGGACGCACTAAATGCAGTCTTAATTATAGCAACACAGCTGCTGAGACCTGGAGAGTGCGGGAGTTGGAAGGTGGTGCCTCTGCCACACGAGTGTGCTGCAATTTCTATATTTAGTCATTGCAGCTGCTGCTGCTGCGTCCCCTCCCCATTTCCACCGCATTGATAAACCAAAGTACAACAAATACAAGGCAAAGTGGTGTTTGCGGGGCCGGAAAAGGCGTGTGATAAGAAAACAAAACGACAGAAGCAACCACATTGATTAGTCAAGACTTAGTACGGGGGAGTGGGAATGGCTTGGGGAGTGGAAAAGCGGTCACTTATCATCACCCACCACAGAAAGTGGTCAAGTGGTTGGTTGCTCAAGTGGAAAATTCATCCCATTTGTCATTTAAACTATGGCTATGGAAATTATGCAATATCTGCTATGAAATGTGCCACAGCCCCTCCTAGGGGCTACTCCTATGGGACGGGGAATTTCCATTCCCGCTCACATCTCCCGAAACAAATTTAGCACTCGGCCGCTGCTGCCGCTCCACACATTTGATAATTGGAGCCAAGAGAGCTTTTGGTCACGTCACGTCACGCCTTCTTGGGGCCCGGACTCCACACATTAAACATTTAATATTTAATTTCACTGATGGATTTTTAGTGTGTCCCAGTCGCAGTCGCAGTCCCCCAACCCAGTGACCCCCATTCTGCCACACAGAGAGACACCCAGACGGTGGGTCGGGTGTGCGTTATTTCCATCTCATTTCAGCTTTTGTATCTTTTATTGCGTGTTCCGTACCGTTTTCGGTTCCCCGTTCCCTTTTTCCGTGTCTGTAAATCTGTCTAAAATTAAAATAAATATTAGCTCTTGTATAAGGTTTTTTCTCATTTCCCACTCTGGTGCAGGATGAATTACAACTGCAACTTTTGGACCACTTAACCCACTGAATCATTGGCCAAGCGTTAGTCATAGCCTGGGAGAGGTAGGACTAATTTATATACCATATACATATGTATGTATATTTACATATTTGTGGTGTTCCACAAATTTCTCGCGCTTCTGCCTTTGATTCGGTATAAATTAGCGCCTTTTGTTATCAAAACAGCAAACCAAAGCGTCAACCCGACATACCGGCCAGCAGATCGCCCGAGAAACGAGTTCCAACTCGAGACTTGGCTTTGATTTGATTTGAGCTAGTTATTGTCGTGTGTGTTTTGCATTCAAAGTGTAGATAATATTCAGAATTTCATAAACCACGTCCTTCTCCACATCGCTTCCACAGAGCTCGGCACATTTGAAAAAAAAATACATGTCGTGTGCATGAGCGTGCAAACCCCCGCTCCAGCCCCTGAATGAATGTGCATGGAGTGCAGGTGTCTGGCATGGCTCTCTTTTTTCCCAGAGCGAGTGCGAGAGGTGTAGAAATTGCCTTCGCAAATAGCCAGCTTATAAATACAAAAAAAAAAAAATGTAATCTAATCTACGCTGGCAATGGTCGTCAAAATTTATTGGCATCAAATGGTTCTTGGTTCATAATTCATAAAAGAATGAATCCATCCAGCCATCAACTATCAGGGAAGGCATTCCATGTGTATCCCCATTGGCAGCGGGGCAGCGAGGCTTTCTTATGATATTTAATTGAATTTTCTGAATCAAATTGAATTCAAACCAATTGGGCTAAAGCCAATGGGTCAAGGGGAATGGGGATATCGTTCACTTCCATAGGGGAATGCATCAGGAGGAGACAGAAATCAAATAAGTCGGGTTGTACAGATTTTACCTCACACAAAATGTACCCCTTAAATGGAGGCAGAGTGCTGATGATGCTGCTGATGATTTTAATTGATGCATGCGACGATGCATGAGATGGGGAGGGAGCTGCATTTCAAATGGGAAGTGGCTGTTGCTGCGACTGTAACTAGGGTGATTATTAATTTTATTAAACGAAATGACCTTGTGGGCACATTTTCCATACAAATAGGGCAGGGAGCGGGAGGTATAGGATGGGGCCTGGCATTGGATGGAATACCAAATTGTGCTATTAAATGCATTTGGGGAACAATTGTCAGACGGTTTGTGCCCATTGAATACGTTTCCATGCATGGAACAGGCACATTTGATTGTCTTCCATTTTCAGCTGAAGAGATTGCCCCCAAACCCTACCCCTCCCTGCCCCTACCCCTGTCCCTGTTCCTGTCTCGAACTATCAAAACTGAAACGATCTGTGCTCACTCTTTGCAGCGCCTGGAGTTTGACCGGGAAGGCCTCACAAAGCTGAAGAAGGCGGTCAAGGCCATACACAACTCGGGGAACAGTAAGTACACGATATAGAGTACATACTGTACATTGATACAAGACACTGATATCTGATACTGTCCGCTTGCAGCCCATGTGGACAATGAGATGTTCATGGTACGTGCGCTGGAGCGACTCGGCGGCAAGGTTATCGATCAGGATGAGCCCGACATTGGGGCGGCGTTCCTCAAGTTCAGCGTCGTCACCAAGGAGCTGAGTGCACTGATGAAAACTCTGGTACATACGCTACATTTGGCACGCTTATCTGAATCTTTAACCATTCCATTTCCTTTCTCATGCCTGAGCAGATGCAGAACATCAACAACATTGTCATGTTTCCGGTGGACTCGATGCTGAAGAGCGAACTGAGGGGCGTCAAGGGGGACATGAAGCGGCCGTTCGATAAGGCGGCCAAGGACTACGAGGCGAAATTTATCAAGATCGAGAAGGAGAAGAAGGCCCAGGCCAAGGAGGCGGGCATGGTGCGCACGGAGATCGATGCCGCTGTGGTGTCCGAGGAAATGGAGAAGGAGCGCAGGCTCTATCAGCTGCAGACGTGCGAGTATCTGCTCAAGTACAAGGATATTAAAACCAAAACAGGCATCGAGCTGCTGCAGCACCTAGTCGAGTACTACCACGCCCTGAGCAAGTGAGTGGCAGAGCCAACTGGTGCGTGCCCCCCAGGGCTAACCAACTCTCCTTCTGCATTGCAGCTACTTCAAAGACGGGCTCCAGACCATCGAGCACTTTGGCACGTACATTGGGGATCTGAGCGAGAAGCTGCACGTGATCAAGCAGAAGCAGGACGAGGATCGGCGCAGTCTGCTCGATCTGCGAACGCTGCTGCGCAGCACCCCGGACTTTGAGCGGGTGGACAATGTGCCATCTACATCGGATAGTCAGAGCCGAAGCGGGGGGGCGGGCTACTCCCTGCATCAGCTGCAGGGCGACAAGCATCATGGGGTGACGCGGCAGGGTCATCTGCTGAAGAAGAGCGAGGGCAAGGTGCGTCGCGTGTGGCAGAAGAGACGCTGTCGGGTGACCAGCGATGGTTTCCTCGACATCTTCCATGCGGACGAGTCCAAGCCGCCGACCCAAGTCAATCTTCTCACCTGCCAGATCAAACCAGTGCCGGATGATAAGCGTGGCTTCGATTTGATTAGCTGTAAGTGAAAAAGAACTCCATGAATCCAGCTGATTATAATTAAATTCCATGCCAATCCATTCGTAGACAATCGCCCGTACCACTTTCAGGCTGAGGACGAGGCCGATCAGAAGGCCTGGATGGCCGTGCTGGTCAATTGCAAGGAGAAGGCCCTCACCAAGGCCTTCCAGCACGCCAATCCCCAGATGAGCCCCAGCCTGGTGGAGCTGCAGAAGACTGTGATCCGCTACGTGCAGCTTCTGCCCGGCAACGACCGCTGCTGCGACTGCGGCTCCCGCAACGATGTCACCTGGATCAGCCTGAATTTCGGCATCCTCGTGTGCATCCAGTGCTCGGGAGTGCATCGCGATCTGGGCGTACATCACTCGCGCATCCAAAGCCTAACGCTGGACAATCTGACCACGGCCAATCTGCTGATCGCCCGTGCCATGGGCAACAGCACGCTGAACGACATCATGGAGGCAAAGCTGGGCAGGGGGAAGCTGCAGCACGAGAGCAGCATGTAGGTATCCCTCCATTCCAGTGAGATATGCAGCCATCTGTAGCCGTCTATCTGTTTTCCATCCGCAGGGAGGAGCGCTACGACTTCATTCGGGCCAAGTATGTGGCTAAGCGTTATGTAATGCGCACCTGCTCGGACGACAATGACTTGAGGTGCGATCTGGAGCAGGCCATCGTGAATGCGGACATGAGCCAGCTGCTGCAGGTGTGGGCAGAGGGCGCGGATCTCACCTGCTGCCTGCCCAGCTCGGATGCGGGCGAGACAGCTCTGCATCTGGCCGTACTGCGGGAGATGGGCTCCACGCTGCACATTGTCGATTTTCTCATACAAAACATGCCGCCGAAGGGCCTGAATAAGGCCACCAATCCAGCCGGACTGCTGGATCTGACCGGAAAGAATACGGCGCTGCATCTCTGCGCTCTCCACGATCGCAGGGAATGCATGAAGCTGCTGCTGCGCTCTGGCGCAGACTACGAGCTGAAGAACTCGCAGAACAAAACAGCGCTGGATATAGCCAAAGAGATGGGACACAATGGCTGCAGGGAGCTGGTGAGTAGATGCACAAATACAGCCTGGATCTTGGGTGGCCATCTAATCAGAGATGCTTCTTGGTTTTTTTTTTCTCCTCTAGATTGAATGTGCCATAAAGCGTGAGAAGAGCGCCTTTGATCACATAAACACCGACTGGAATCTGCCCAACGAGGACGGCTCCACGGATTTCAGTGACGATGAAACGGTCATCGATGAGCGCGTATGTGTTGCGATACTTCCGACTGCCGATACGTATCCTTCTAATTGCTTTCTGCTTTACAGAAATCTCGATCGCGTCCCCCCAGTTTTGCTGGCGGGGACTCGCCAGTGCTGCGCTCACGCTCCTCCACCTGCGACTCCATACAGTCGAGTTCTAGTCCAATCGCCAACTGTCCCAGCCGCCAGTTTACGCTGCCCTCGGGCCTGCCCAGCTACACGCATTCGGCGGGCACGTCGCCCAAGCAGCACATCAGCGTGGGCCAGTATCTGGGCAGCAGTGCCAGCAATGTAGGCGGCGGCGGTGCTGGCAATGGCGGGGGCGGTGGCGGTGGCTCTAGTCCCAGCTCCGCATCCAGTCAGAGTGTGCGGGCGGCAAGGAACAGTCTGAATATGCAGCAGAGTGAGCTGGGCCATGTGCCGGGTGGGGCCCGCAAATCCACATCCACGGCGAACATGAACTCTCTGAAGAAGCGCACAGCTCCGGCCCCACCGCCTGGCACGCTGGGCAGTGCCTCTTCCAGCTCCTCCTTCTATGGGACACTGCCCCATCCGCCCCGGCACTCGCAGAACTTTGATGCCAATGACATACGCGCCATCAACCATAAGAACCAGTCGCTGGATGTGGCCTATGGCACGCTGCCCCACCTACGCAGCGTGGAGAGCAGTCCCCGCGGTGGCTATGGCGGGATCCCTGGCGGATCTGGAAATGGCAGCAGCAGCAGCAGCCTGATGCCTGCCATGACGACATTTGGCCACAAGCGATCGCCCAGCGGGGAGTCGCTGAATCGTAATATACATCTGGCTGGAGCCAAGCTTGTGCTGCCACCCACTGGTGAGCTGCCCACGCTCAAGCATGTGGACAAGTCGGCGTTGATGCGCCCAAAGATACCGCCACCAGGACCGCCGTCAGGTGAGACTCAGCTTCTGCGACTGTTCCGTACTGTTATTTATCCAATTTCCTTTATTCCACAGAGCGTGAGATTTCCAATGGTCAGTCGAATGAGAGCATCAGTTCCATAGACGAGGGTCCCATAGCGCCGCCACGAAAGGTAAGTTGTGACGCGGGTGCTCGCCAATGCTGACCAACAGGTCCTGTTCCGTTGTACTCGTACCTCTAGTAATATGAACCTTTCAATGTATCTCAATTCAATCTATTTGCATTTGGTAAACAATTTTCAGCGCAAGCAACACAGTGTTTTGATTGAGAGATTGAGATTATCCCAGTCCAGTGAGGAGACGGTAAATGGCAAACTCTTGCTCATTTCGCGCATTTACATTCAATGACAAGCGACATACCTATATAAAAAACGTTCTTGTTGTCGTTGTCGTGTTGCTGTTGTCGTTCCCCTACTAAAATGTCCAGTTTATTTTGCATCCTTCGAAGCCCTAACCCTTGCGCCAAACACACAATTTAAATCCGTTTCTCTTTACGTTTCAATTTTGTTGCACTTATAATTTGAGGCTATTCAAAGTTTTCTTATCCTGTTGCGCTCGCCTTTTTTCAGCTGATAAATCAATCGGCCAACTTCACCGACTACGAGTCCTGGCACACGGACATGGACAGCTCTGGCGGTGGCCTGGATCATTCGGCCGATTCGAATGTCTCATCCAGTGACAACGATCGCCTTCACTCGTCGCCCGACAATCCATCCAAAGGCGGTCCAGGAACAGGCTCAAGCGGAAAATTCCACAACGTAAGCGCGGGAAGGGGAACCACCGGTATCGAAATTAGTTGCCATGGACTAATCCACTTTTCCACTGATCCACAGAACGGCCAGAGACGGTGCCGGGCGCTCTATGACTGTGTGGCGGACAATGATGATGAGCTGGAGTTCAAGGAGGGCGAGATACTGATTGTGTTGAATGAGCGCACCGACGATGACAACTGGATGGAGGGCATCATCGAGGGACAGCCGTCGCGACGCGGCATGTTCCCCGTCAGTTTTGTCCATATGCTGCCCGACTAAATGGGCGTGGCACAGGGATAATGTTAGCTCATGTGTATTGTATGTTGTATGTTTCTGTGAGTGTGTGGGCTGTGCGCGACTGTATATATCTCTATGTGTGTGCGTGTGCGTAATTTAAAACAAGACAAGATTTTATTTATTAGAACCGTTTATGTCACAAGGAATATACACATGCATATGCATATAGGTACATTCATATATAAATGTCTACTGTGAGCTAGTAATTGTTGGATATATATGCTGCCATCTCATGTACATTTCATTTTCAATCGGAAGAAGGAGCTGGAGTTTTAAATGCTTTTGTAACCGAATATGTCCTGCAAACTGCTGTAATTCGTACCATAAATGTATCTACTAACCTTAGCATTACACGCTGTGCGCAAAAGTTACTCGGAATCTATTGATATATATATATATATATATATATATGTATGCTTATACTAGATGCTGCCATATACAGATATACAGATACTAAACAATATCCACAAGAAGACCCGACCTGGTCGGGCTTCTTGGCTACATACGAAAGTATTGTATTACAGTTGTTGATGAATTGATGACGAGAAAGTTTATAAAACAACGTTGAAATGAAAGAAACATTTACTTAAACTAACCCCCCCATACATATGAGAACTCTAAAGCTATGCAACAAAAGGAATAAATACATACAGATACGAGTATGTACCAGTACCCCGTTTGTACCTAGAAATTGTTACCAATTAAGTCTAAAAATATCTAAACGTAGTACTACTGTATATGAATATTACCTACAATTTAAAAGCGCTGTCAAAGAACAAAACTAAGAATTCTAGACTTATTGACTTGTTGTATACCATACCATACCATGTCAAAGCAGCACACATGATCAGTTAAAGACCTACAATATGTATACTGTACATAATACCCCCATTTTTTTTAAGACACAACACAGCACCCTACTCCTTTTTCTTTTATACATTTTGTATACACGTTTCAGTATTTATTTAGCAAAACCTTTCAACGTATTTGATATTACATTTAAGTCAAATAAAAGGAAAAACATAACGCTTATTACATATACACATATATAAGGTTGTGTTTTTACCAAAAACAAGAGCGACTCCTTTTAATGGTTGGGTGAGTGAATACACATTGATGAAACGTTGATTAATAGCCCCTTAGAGTTGACCTACGGAGGGGATACACATGAGTGTGAATGCATAAATATGCGAGTGATATGGATAGGTTTTCTGCTTTTCCTTTTATCGGAATGGTGTAAAATGGAAATTTGGCTTTATTAACATTTAATATTTTGATCTCAGTGGAAATGCCCATTGATATTGCTATTTTTCAATAATACTCCAGCTTGGGTGCTGATGAACTTTTGCAATTCGAATCTACATATACTGGTATCTTTTAATAGTCAAACATATGGTGTAACAGAAGATACATATTTACATATACATATATTAATTTCCATTAATAGAGTAGAGTAGCTAACATTCCTACAGAATTTATTCTGTTAACAGCACATATTCAAAATGACCGCCAAACTCCATTTAGCTAAAAAATACCGAAATTCTAAGGTATATAAAAGTATATTTAATCTAGAGATGACCAACTCTTCCGGAGTTGGTAAAATCGCTTATCGCAATTTCTAAGTTGGAGGAGTTGACCATTTCTATTGAGACCAACAAAACAGCTGCTACGTGAATCAAAGTGGAAATACAATCCGGTAACCGTTTTATGTAAACAATCCAATGAAAAGGAGTTCTAAAAATTAGCCAAATCTTGTACACAATATATTGATGAATTGGATAAAATTATTTGTTTTGCGCTGAAAAGGCTAACTAGCTAGCAATATTGAACCGAATATCAAAATTAAGGAATATCAACGCATTTTGTCGTGTCCGTCAGTATTTCTACGGTATATTATGTAAATGAGAAGGTATTTTAGGTATATTTTTAAGGGTCAGACGGTGTATTTTGTCGATAAATCTGCGGTCACATTGCTACAAAGCAATTTTTGTAAGCATTTCATTGTGTGTAGTTAGCGTGTAGTTACCATGTAAAACATTAAATTTTCCATCAAAAGACCATTTCCTCTATTTGATTAAACCTTATTTTTGAATAATTGAGATGAAAATGAGTAATTTTAAGTAGCAAATCTTTTAGGAAATTGATTAAATGATCGTGGAAAAATATATTTTCAGCGCTTAGAGTTTTAGCTTCGTAGTAATATTTAGCCGAATACTAAAATCGAGGAATAAAGTGAATCACAGCCTTTCGTGTCCGTCAGTATATTTACAGTATTTTTTGAAAATGAGAAGGTATATTTGGATATATTTTTGAGGGTCAGCCGGTATATTTAGTCGATTCATCCGCGGTCACACTACTACAGCAATATTTTCCGCATGCAACTAAAATTTTATTAAAATAATGCAGAAAGGCTAATTAATATTACATTACTGATTCGATCCGGGTAGCCTCTGACAAATAGCTGGACATCTGGTACAAAAGAACACGCCCAATTGTGCCACAGCACAGTCCCCGGACCGTGAAGAAAAGCACCTTCCTTCGCCTTGAGGTTGCGAGCTGCCAATTTGTTGTCGGCAAAGTGCGAAAGTCGTGGAAAAATATCACCTGCAACACGAGTGGTTCCTTGCGAAGGTAAGAATATGCACAGCTTGAAGGCCAATAAGTGCACTTTATGGTGCATGCAAAGCTATAACCAATAATACCCCGTCCAGGACAACAACAGGGAGACGACGGACCGGTACGAGGAGGCAGCTGACTGGAACGGTAAGGGCTAAAGGCACACCGCGTTCACCCCTGCATTGGGCAGTGGGCACCAGTGCGTCCTAAATATGAGTGCTGCTAAAAAGTATAAGCCTATGGATACCACAGAGCTGCACGAGAACACCGAGAATATTGCTGCTTGCTTGAAGAAGGCTGAGAGTGCCGCCGCCTTGATGATGGGCCGCAGTGCCTTTGCTGCCCAAAACATGAACTCTGCGTCAACGAACGGCGAACGCCTGCCAAATTTCTCCAAGCTTGGCTCAAACCATGGCGAGATTCGATCGGCATCAACTACCTCAAACTTACTTAATCGCACGGGGGCCATCCACAACAGCAAGCCAGGCGATGTCAAAAAGATAGTGATTAAGAACTTTAAAGGTTAGTGGTATTTATCCATAAGTTATGATTATCCACTCCACCCACCATATGCATCTTTTATGCCAAAGATAAACCCACACTGCCCGATAACTATTCCGAGGACACGTATGTGAAGCTCGAGGAGGCCGTTATCGCCATACAACTATCGAAGCCCATCAAATATTCACTGGAGGAGCTGTACCAGGCCGTTGTGAACATGTGCAGTCATAAAATGGACGCCCAGCTGTATACGAAGCTCAAGGAGCTGACTGAGCAGCATGTGAAGCGCAATATCAAGCTGAAGGAGCTCACTGGGGGCAGCATGGACAAGCTGGTAAGTGGGCTGCAACGTCAAAATAAACATACGTTTTAGACATTGGACCAACTTACAGGTGCTGCTGGAGAAAATCAACAACTGGTGGCTCTCGTTCTGTCAGCAGATGATCATGATACGCAGCATATTCCTGTACATGGATCGCACCTATGTTTTGCAAAACTCATTTATCCACTCAATATGGGACATGGGGCTGGACCTCTTTCGCATACACTTTGCTCAGAACAGCGTCGTCCAGAAGCGTACGGTCGATGGTCTCTTAACGCTGATTGAAAAGGAACGCCAGGGCGCGTCTGTGGACCGCGGTCTGCTCAAGAGTTTGGTGCGGATGCTGTGCGATCTGCAGATCTACTCCAGTTCATTCGAGGAGAAGTTCCTCGATGCCACCAATCAACTGTACAAGGCTGAGAGTCAACGTATGATGCAGGATCTGGAGGTGCCCGGTTACCTGCAGCACGTTAGCATGCGTCTGGCCGAGGAGCACGAGCGTTTGCTGCACTATCTGGACTCGAGCACAAAGTACGTTTAGGCATTTATGCTTCATTGGAATTTGGCTAATATTTCGATTGTATTTTCCCCACTCCCCACCCATAGACATCCGCTTATATACAATGTGGAGAAAGAGCTGCTGGCCGAACACCTGACGGCCATACTGCAGAAGGGTCTGGATGCGTTGCTGGAGGACAACAGATGGGTCGAACTAACAATGCTATACGGTCTGCTTAGCCGTGTCAAAAACGGCACTTCGGAGCTGTGTGGCAACTTTAATGGATACATTAAGGTAATCCCTTAAGGTTCATCTTTAATTACGTTATCTTTACGCATTATGTACGTGTTGCAGAAAAAGGGACGCACCATTGTCATTGATCCGGAGAAGGATAAAAGCATGGTGCAGGATCTGCTTGAATTTAAAGATAAAATGGATTACATTGTCCGAAACTGCTTCGCACGCAATGATAAGTTCACGAATTCGTTGCGCGAGGCCTTTGAGTTCTTTATCAATCAGCGAGCCAATAAACCAGCAGAGCTCATTGGTAGGTCGCCATTTCGTCATTCATTGCTTTGGTTTATCCTGTAACTCCTTCCGCCTGCTCTCCTTAGCAAAATACGTGGACATGAAGCTGCGCTCTGGGAACAAGGGCACCACCGATGAAGAGCTTGAGAAGACATTGGACAAAATCATGGTTCTGTTTCGCTTTATACACGGCAAGGATGTGTTTGAGGCTTTTTACAAGAAGGTTATTGTTATTCCACATTTGCATTATTGTGTACTTTAGTTGATGATTAATCCATCTCTGTCTGCGCATTCTGCAGGATCTGGCAAAGCGATTGCTCGTGGGAAAGTCCGCTTCAGTGGACTCTGAAAAGAGTATGCTGTCCAAGCTGAAACAAGAATGTGGTGGAGGCTTCACATCGAAGCTGGAGGGCATGTTCAAGGACATGGAACTGAGCCGCGATATCAACACAGCGTTCCGCGGCCACGCGCTCAGCAACAATCGCGATGTCCATAACCTGGACCTGTGCGTCAGTATATTGACAATGGGCTATTGGCCAACATATGCGCCCACAGAGGTCACAATGCCGCCACAGCTCATTAATCCGCAGCAGATATTCAACAAGTTTTATTTGGAAAAGCATAGTGGACGAAAGCTACAATGGCAGCCCACGCTCGGCAACTGCATGCTGCGTGCACAGTTTGAGGCGGTAAATGAAATTCGAACGCAGTCAAATCTGAATACTCTAACTCTAATCTTACTACTGTCTCATGCAGGGTCCGAAAGAGTTGCTGGTATCGCTGTTTCAGGCTCTGGTGCTGCTCTTGTTCAACGATAAGCCGGTGCTTAACTACGAGGAGATATTAGCCGCCACCATGATCGAGGATGGAGAGTTGCGCCGAACACTTCAGTCGCTGGCCTGTGGACGCGCCCGCGTTATAACGAAAACACCAAAAGGTCGCGAGATCGAGGATGGCGACCAGTTCGATTTTAATAATGAGTTCACAAACAAATTGTTCCGAATCAAAATCAATCAGATTCAAATGAAAGAGACGGTAGGTTTCGCTTTGCAAAACTCCAAGCAAAAAACTGCAAAACTCATGTATTTTCCCCACAATTTAGAATGAGGAACAGAAGGCAACCGAGGAACGTGTGTTCCAGGACCGTCAATACCAGATAGATGCAGCCATTGTGCGAATCATGAAGATGCGCAAAACTTTAAGCCACAATCTACTCATCACCGAGCTGTTCAACCAGTTAACCTTCCCCGTCAAGGTGCGTCGACTTTTGACACAATTCGCTGGCGAATTCAATGCTAATTTTCTTCCTTTTTATTTCGCCAGCCCGCTGACTTAAAGAAACGCATTGAGTCGCTTATCGATCGCGACTACATGGAGCGAGACAAGGATAATCAGAACCAGTACAACTACGTGGCATAACTTGTCTGGGGAACCCGAACACCGAACATTGAGTTGATTGCAACATCCATCTTTATATTTACCATACGCATACACATACTAAAAGTCCATTGAAAATTTGGTGTGTTTCGTTGCCTGTGTCCGGCCAGCGCCAGCGCAAGCCGCCTAACTATTATGTATCATGATATGTAGCCTCTATGTAGGGCCGTTGCTACAGTTTCTTTTTGTAAGTTACCTTTATCCATTCAATAAACTAAGCGTTTTATTTACAAATCGTCCAAACGACTCTTGGACTCCGAGCACCCAGGTCAGGTCAGCCGACTTCGCCCCGCCCGACTGTTGAAAATAACTATTCATTTGTTGGACTCGATCGATTGTCTTTTGTTTATATACTATATTTAATGGATTCAATTAAATGAAGATCATTCTTCAAAAGATCGGTAAAAGAGGAGACACTTGCAGGCTAATTTTCTGATGGAAATATATATTTAAATTAAATTAAATAATAGCTGTCGTACTCGTAACTTCTGTATGTAAAATGGATACGCATAAACTAGTTTTTTATTTACCATAAATAAAAAATTACGTGAAAACATCTATAAAATAATGCACTGTGTGTTTCACTAGCTTATTATTATTATGATTATTAATAATATTGCAAGCATATCATTTGTGAGCAATTTGTTAGGCAAATTTAGTTCGTTTAGCAAATGAATCAAATATATACAAATAAAATATTATAGGCTACAGTTAGATTGATACGAGTAGAATAGATTATATACAATTCAGAAATAAATATAGCGGTCGCGTGGGGTCATCTAAAAACGACAACGAGGTTGATTCAGATATCACAATACGTACTTCTTCCTCCCTCGTGTTCCCTCTTGTGTTTTGTCAACTTGAAAAGGCTCTCAGTGGCTTAGACTACAGATACATGATTATACTGCTACCATATACAAAAAATACATGCAATTTCTCCGCTTTGGGCACCGCTTACGTCTCCACGCTGTTCACGCTGTACTGCGAGCTGTCGTAGTCGGAGACGTTGTCCGACCCGTATCCGCCGAAGCCGGCCACTGAGGGACGCACACTACTGGTCCGTATGCCATGATCCTTGAGTACGTCGGGCACATAGACGGGGGCCGGGCCAGCTATCTCCACAATGCTGGGACGACGGGTGGCCGCGCATCGTTTGATGGGTGACATGAACGTGAACAGAGTCAGGGTTATGGCCAAACTTATGATCAGCAGCAGGAAGCGGGCCATGCCATCGTCGCCGCGGAAGTAGCATATCATAGCCATCACAAACACCAGGATTACCACCGAGAACTTTGTCATGGTCACCGCCGTTGAGTGGATCTTGCCGCCCTTTCGCGATATCATATTGGATGGTCCGTACGCGAAATACAGGTTGTGACGATCCACGAAATGCTTGAGGCAGATGTAGATCATGGCAAAGGGCATGATGAGCGGACAGAACACGCTGTACACGATCGCAATGGTGAAGACGAGCGTGGTCCATGCGTAGTGGGTGCCAAAGGGGAATTCGATCAGTATGGCTTTGCGGATGAAGGGCGTCTCCGCCTTGGAGTTTGCCTTCAGCAGGGACCAGATGTAGACAATCAATTCGGGGAATCGCAACAGCTCCAATGCAGTACCAATAAACGCAGCAGTGATGATGTAGTTGACGTAGAAGGAGCCACGATCCGGCAAGAAGATGCACTGCCAGCGTCCGGTCTCGTTGGTGAAGCCCCACTCCAGCAGGGCCTGGGCCGAGGTCAGTCCCAGCGATGGCAATATCAGAATCATCAGCAGCAGGTAGCTGAAGCACTTGGTCATGATCGAGTAGTTCTGCTTCGAGCGCGTATAGTGGCCCATCCACTTGTCCGAAATGGCCACAATCACCGGCATCAGGGCGGAGAGCGTCCACAGCATCAGAGTGGGCAGGAACTCGGATACCAACGGTGAGATCTTGCCCTCCGTATCCTTCAGCCAGGGCCGGCTATTGAGCAGGTTGACCACCATCACCGGCGTTGTGAGGAAGAAGAGGAACAGGAAGAGCACAAAGTTCACGCAAAAGAATTTCAAGTACCAGTGGCTCTTGTTGACATTCAGGTTCTCCCAGAACAGGTCGTCGGGCGAGGGGGCGAACATCATCTCCCACTGGCGATAGGTGCCGGGCGTGAAGTGCGTGACTATGTTCTGCGCCTCCTGCACCGTCGACACAGTGAGAAAGGCAATGTCCAGCGGCTCGTTCATAGTGGAGGCACGCAAACGGGCCACATCGCCCGATAACTTCCGCTCCTCGCGCTGATAGTACTCGTACGCATTCTCCTTTTTGCACGAGCACATGTCCGGCTTCGCCTGGCAGGAGAGATGTGATTGCAGTAAATGTTCATCCACTCCTATGCAAATCCACTTACCATTAACGTGTCCCGATTCCGGTGGTGCTCACAATACACACGGGCATCGTGTATCCGCTCGTACTCGGCGTTGCGCACATACAGACGAGAAATGTTGTAGGCAATGCTGACACTCTCGATGGTTACGTCTGGGAACAGCTCCTGCATGTAGTTGCGCACAACGGTCTTGTTGCGATCGCTGGACGAGATGTTCGATATCATGATTGTCCGGGTGGCAGCTTTTTTGAACGCATTGCGGCCCGAAGCACGCCGCATGATGAGTACTACCAGCGGAATGTACAGAATTGTAATGATTGTGTGCACCCAGAGCCAAGGAGACTCTGGCGACAGGTTGGCCATCGTTGTCCGGCCAAAGGCATTCACATCGTACGGCGTATCCTTGGGTCCGTTCAGAAAGTTGACGGGCAAAATGACGGCCAGAGAGATGAGCGTCACCAGAGCCATGACAGCCATCAAATGCTGCTGGAAGGACAAGTAGTGGACTGCATCGGGGCCGGTGTGCAGCAAGATGGTTTCCTTCCGCAGCTTAAACGTGATCCAAATCCAGCCAAAGAGACCCTGCTCGGGATGCACCGGCGACAGTGGCGTGGAGTCGCCGCTGTTTTGGGAGTTGACGCTCGGTCGCGGTGTCGCCTGTGTGGAGGTGCCTGACTGGGGCTCAATTATGCTGGTCGCTCGCGAATAGAATATCTCCGTCCAGCGTTTCTTGCTGCCATTGCTATTGACAAGGGCCAGGCGGCCAAAGTCGCTTGCCTGATGCCGCAGCGTTGTGAACAGCAGGATGAGCAAAACCCAGAATATTGTATTCAATATCAGAGTCTCTGGTATCCCGTTGTAGGCACTCGTGAAGAAAGACGTGCGGTTACTCACTTGAGAGCAGTAGGATAGATTGCCCGAGTCCGACATTGTGATTCGTTGAGCTCACTGAAACACAAAGAGAGTCACAATTATTAGAGTTTTCAGAAGCGATAAAACTCTTGCCGTGCCGTGCAAACATCTAAGCCCCAGAGCTGATAAGCAAACACTTTATCAATCATTCCTCCTCATAATTGGCACTTTCCGTTTGTGGATTGGAACCATCGTAGATCATTTCTTAGGCTGCGGCTGCACAGATTTATCTTTTGAGGTCAGTGTGACAAAGTAGCCAAAGTCCACAAATGATGCTGTTTTACAGTGGCTAGATACGGCAATAAAGATACTGTATCTTTTTAGGAATATATACATATGTAAATGTATAAGCAAAAGCAAACACTCGTTTAATCCGAACAAAGATGTTCGTTCTCGTGTGTTTTGGAGTTTTTAAAATGAGATAATCATTTTAAAACATGTTTCTTTCTGGTAGGAAAGGGGCGGACGGGGAATGAGATAACTAGAAGTGAGCAAGGGGTTGGTGTTGGGGCAACGTATAGTTTGGTTCGTCTACCACCTTCTCTCTTTTTTGCGTTTTGTTTTGTTATTCGGCGGCGGCGGGCATGAATCATCGACATTTCATTTTCGCCTTGGGACAGCCAGACGGTGTGCAACATGAGCAAATACGGTTGGAAATTGGAAACACTGCACAACTTAAGCTTTCTTGCTTTATTACATATATAATTATATTTAATAGTTAACAGCAGTTGGAGTGTTGCGTGTGTGTGAGTGCTTTTCATGTTATCCACTTTCTTTGGCTTCTTTTATGGCTTTCACTCCGGTTACGAATATGGTTGTCATATGGTTTATCTGCCACGCTGGCATCCAATTCCCTTCCTTCGTTGCATACCTTGTCCACTAAAACCAATTCTTTGTTGTTGCTCACTTTATTTAATTGTACATCAAAAACAGATTGCAGTCGCAGGGTCGTAAATTTGTATGAAGTGTTGTTGCGCTCTCGCTGGCGATGGGCATTCGTCAGTTTCCCCGCTATCGATAATACGATCTCATGAACTATCGATATCATTATTTTAAATGTTTATATAATTTTTATGGGATATTTGAATTAAAAAATAAAACATAAATACGTTAGGACATACTTAGACTCCCTTTAAGTTGTTTTGTAAGGCACCACCCGTTTTGTTCTGCAAACCTACAACTTAGGAGGAAACTATCGACACTACAACCCTATAATAGTTGGAAAATGCCATCACCGAGAACAATCGAAGCCTTTCTTGTTTTGTCGACAAATTCAAATTTTAATAAATTTTGACAAACAGTAATAAAAAGACAGACAACGTTGAATGTTTTTAAATTTTATTAAATTTTAGCAAACAGTATTAAAAAAACAGACGACGGAGACTGTTTGTTTTACTTCGTCCCTTTCGGTAAGTCAATCATATGGCAAAACATTATTTGTAGTTTTTACATTGTTGTTTACACAGCCATCACACAGACAGTTTTTTCTACAACGTTGACGTATCCTACTAGTGCATTATAATGTTACCAAAATCGAAGCCGTCGCTGGTGGCGCTGCTTAGCAATAGTCCGCAAACAAACCTATCATTCAAAATTCAGTTGCTGTCAGGAAAGACTATGGTGCTGGTGGAGTCCCCGGGGTATGAGAGTGAGCTGTTCATTCCACAGATTGTCAATGACCGAATCACCCTCCAAAACATTATGCCGAATCGTCGGTGCTGCAGTGAGTCCAGCCTGACCACACACCCGATGGTAATAAAAGGCGGTGCGGGCTTTGTGGTTGAACCTGTAAGCAGAACTCCGCTGCGAGCATTGCAGAGGGGGAACTCGTCCACACCTCTGGCGAAAAGCACTCCGGAAGTTTCCATTCGTCGAATCAGCGGTGGCAAAAAAGCGCTGGAGCTGACACCCGAGCCGGCTCGCTTTCTTCCGGTGCCATTTGAATCCGAGATACAGGACACATCTCTTCACCTGAACCTTTCCTGTTCAGGCTCCACCATTGAGTCGCCTACTGCGCTTCTGCCGCCAGAACTTTTGAGCAACACAGACTCGAGAATGAGTGGCTCATCCAACTCTTATGTGAGCCCAATCCCACCTCTGGGTAGCTCTGTTCGGAAAACGCCGCCGGAGCGCACTTATGCCCGCCGTAAGCCCAACAAAATCATAAAATCCACGCCGACGCCAGCCTGGTCGCCGCTACAGAAGAAGAAACGCCAGACGGCAGCATCTGCGACAAAGGTACCAAATCCGGTCATGAAGCTAGAAGTGCGCAATAGAAAACTGATTGTGGACGCAAACAAGAGCATTGCGGCGTACAAACTGAAGACCGTGATCAGCACGCCCGTTGTCAAGAAGAGAATCATCCAAAAGCAGGTTACGGCCAAGACAAGAAGACAGTTTGAGGCGCTCAAGGGCACAGCCTTTGACCTGCTGACAACATCGGCCCAAGGGAACATGGCCATGGAATTGGTCAAACAGTTTCAGGATGCCTGCATGGACAAGCGTGCCACTACAGTGCCCAACTATGCAGAGCTGGGCGCCAGTTCTCGGCTGGAAATTGACCACGAGGTGAAGGGTTTGCTGGCAAAACAAAAGCGATTGGAACAGAATGCAACTGGAAAGCCAAAGCCATGGATGAAGCTAACGTGATTTATTGCAGGTCACCTCGCCTCTGGTTTTTTATGCGTTTTCAAAATTTACTGTTCGCCCTTGTAGGCAATTGAATAATGTCTTAGGGTGCAGCAGCGCATTAAATGTTCCTCTCATAATGAAACCTATTATTTATGCTGTATTCTTTGTCCTACTATAGTATGTACAGTACTACTACCTAACGATAATAAATTAGAATAATAAATATTTTGTACGATAAAACTTAATTGTAATCGGGGACCAGAACCATAACCAGATCCGTTTAAGAGCTGCGACAACGGAAGCAGGCTTTGAATCCCCGTTTAATGGCTCGTATATTGTGGACAACCTCCTCCTGTGAGTAAGATGTACCATTAGATGAGTTCAATGATGGAATTCGATCACTTACCTGCATCAGATTGAAGCACATGGCAATTACGGCCATTCCTAGCAATAGATATACGGCACAGAGGATAAAGCTGACCTCCACTTTGTCCCTATCGGCGGTTATCTAGCAGAAGGTATATATCAGTCACAGATTGTTAATTTGTGTTTGTAGTGATCTTACCACCCGATCACCTGGCACCAGATCACCAAATCCAATACTGCTGAGCGAGATTAAACAGAAGTAGCTGCCATCCAAGTAGTTCCAGTCCTCCCAGCGACCAAAGAGCAACGCACCCCACAGAATATACCTGAAGGAGAAGGAGCGCTAGGTGTTTAGAGGATCTGTGAGTGGGAGCATTTGCGGAAGCTCCTACCCAACCATGACGAATATGCAGACTGTCAGAGGGACAGTAATCTCGTCCGTGCTGCCGCGTATCTCTCGCTCGATATCCGAATCGGATCCGCTGTACGCCACATCCAAGATGCTGGAGCTGTGATGAGAGCTCTTCGTGTAGTCGGTGGTGGTGCTGCTGCTGTTGCTGTTGGTGGTAGAGCTGCTGCTGGAGTAGCTGCTGCTTCCGCCGCCACTTTCCATGTGGTGCATTTGGAGCTGAAATTATAAGTGTGTGCGTTAATGCAATGATCCCCAACTCATGAGAGCAGCTCTGACTCACCGCCCTCGCCAGGTGGCGCATTTTTCGTCTTTCCCGTATGATGCGGCGTTTGGCCACGCCTGGACATATACGGCACAAGCAGACTTTGGAGTATATCCACTTGAAGGACTTGGCCAGCACATCGCCAATGTTTGAGAGGTAGAGCAGGAATAAGGGCATACCGATTATCGCATACAGAATGGTCGCCAGCTTACCCCACTCGGAGTGGGGTGTTATGTTGCCATATCCGATCGTTGTGATGACTGTCAGCGAGTAGAGGAAGGCCCCGGAGAAGCTCCATTGCTCCACATCGGGCCCCTTCAGCTGTTTTTTCACAATCGCCCGCTGATACTCCAGCAGCACATCATTGACACTGAAATCATGGAATAGTTTCGAATTAGTTTCGAAATATTTTAGTTGTTGGCCATTTCTAACCGTTTCCTGTACGCCTGATGGTCGAAGAAACTTATATTCTCGGCCGTCAGCTCCCAGATGCGCGTGAGGCACTCCCCGCTGACATTGCGCTCGATGAACCGATGCGGCTTCTGCGACTTGAGTCGCTCGTATTCGAAGATTTCGATGGCCTGGAAGATGAAGGCGCCCCCAATCGTGTAGAACGTGACTAGCAGTATGATCCCCACATTGCTGAACATGAAGGCCGTAAAGTGGCGGCAGTGATCCTTGAATCGTTGAAATGCTGGCTTCTCTTTCCGGCGGAACGAGCTCCGCCGTGAGGCCATGTCTGGCCCCGTGCTGCGGTCCGCTTAGCAGCTCGTTTCCGTTTCGATTTCGCTGGGCGTTCCACTGGCGTTTGCTTGGACATGCTTCGAGCCGAGTGTCTTGCGCCCGCCGGCTCCCATCGGCATTGGGCGTTTGGGGCGACAATGGGACCGCAGTGGAGCTGCAAATATACAATGTGAGAGCATTAGTGACGCCCCAAAGGATTTCCTGCACACCTATCGCTAAATATATCCGTGATTACTCGCTGTTTAGCCCAAACACACAAAGTGGTAAATAAACAAAACGTTCGGGCTATATTATCAAAGTGCTTAGCGGCCATAAATCTTTGCGAGCAACGACGGACGCATTCAGAACGTACGAATGAGTATTCATTCGTGTTCATGTGCTGTGCCCATACAATACGATCGAGTATGTTGTCTTGCCTGTACGAGTAGGTGTTTTATTTTTATGGTCTAGTCTGGGATTATCGTGCAATATACGATCATCAACACATATGTACAAATGTACTCGTAAAGATCTTGATACATTGTTTTAGTGCTGTCCGAATAGAGTTTGGATACAATTTTGTGCACTCTCGCAGTTTACGAGTAGATGTTGTTGCTCAACAGATTCTCCAGGCTATCCCATTCGAAATTCCATTACGGAATGCGTAGCCGAATTTATGTGAAGGAATAACCCAGAGAAAATACCTGTATTCATATATACATATGTACATATATTAATTAAATTATCATTTACTGATGAGTATATGAAAAAGTTACCCTGCCACGCGCGCTGCCTCCTCTCTCCCCCACTCGTTCAGTGGCGCTATCTAGCGGAGTGAGCGAGATATAACGGAATGGAAACAGAGAATGGAGGAGTGCAGGGATATATTTTAAAAGTTACATAAATCCTTGCCATATATGTATACAAACTAAATTCCGGGTGGTCGCAGCAAGTGATTTTTCTTGTAATTAATTGTTGCTGCTGATCTTATAATCCCTCTTGGAAATGAATAGAGCATTAAATACGGCAAACAGGAAAATTAGATAGCAGAATGAAAACTACAAATAGGTCGAGACTTTAAGTACCATTAAAAAATCAAAATAATTGAACAAATTCTCAGATATTTAAATTAATAGCTTCCTGGAATATCGACCATCACTTTTTCAATTTCAATAATACTCTGAGGAAGAAAGTTCTTTTGGTAAGAGATGCTCAGGTGTAGGGCATCTTATAGTCGGAAAGATGCCTATGGAGTTCTTCCCGATTTATCTTTATACTTTGCACATATGTACATATATTCGTATGTTTCTTAATAAATGGCCAACATGAACATGAATTATTGGACTACAATCTTGGCAGCTGGTCTATGGAACAGTCACATCATCCCATCCCCACGGATCGATCTACTGCTTGTGTGTGGTATTTCAGATTTCTCGCGTGGACGGAGGATGACATCCGTCTACATTCAAGAATTAATGGCGTAGCCGATGGCGTCAAATTGGAGAGTTCCTAACGATGCGTTGCGATGCGCTGTCTGTGGTAGCTGTTGCCAAACGCCAAAACGCCTTTTGTTGCTGTTGTTGTTTAGTTTTTCATTTCGTATGCTAAGGTTTAATTTAGTGGGTGTGAAATACGAGTTTATTTGAGATTATTTTTATAAACTTCTGCCTTGCCCCAGCCCCAGCCACAAACCACAGTCATTTGTCTAATTTGTGGCCAGAGAAACACTTTTATTGGCGCCCAAAGTTTTGGTGCGAGCCATAGTTTTTTTGGAGCTGGCCTTCGGCATTTCGGGATTCGTATATGTACATATTTTATGGGCTCGCCCAGATCTTTCACTCTTTCACGCTGAGTGGGGACAGCGGCAAGGGCAGGGAGGCTGGTGAGGCAGCGGACATAAATTAAAATCAATTTGCAATCGATGTTTTCATTATTTACAGCGAAAACATATTGTGTTCCTACTCGTAATTAAAAGAGAGATCCAAATCCAAACACAAACTAAAAACTGGGAATACACTCGTTGTGTTGGGTGGGGTAGGGGGAAAATCTAACAAAAATACACAAGACACGAACGCGGAAAGAAAAACACATTAGGGGCGGAACTGAGCTAAAAAGCAGCTCCTTGCCGCCAAATGGAATTTCTATGATTTTCGTACAATAATTAAGAAGATCCCAGCGGTGGGGAGGAGCCGGTCACTGCAGAGTGCGGCGGAGTGCAGTCCGGTGCGGTAATTAAATGGCAATCTTGACGAGTTTTTCTCCCGAGATATTTTTGGATGGATAGGCGGAATGCGCCTTCGCAGTGGGCTCCACCGGGCCGTAAAGTCAGTTTCGATTGCAAAAAATATCTGTTTTGCATTGCGTAATTATTTTAATTATAATTGCTCGTTCAAGACATTTATGCTGGGGGTTCTGCTAACCCAAATAATCCAAAGATTAGCCCCACAAAAAAGATCAAAGATGAAGATGGCGGAAACTGCTCCCTAATTAATGTACATATTGTAGTTTTGGCCTGCCTTTTATCTGGCACAGTACCCTTTGGCCCATGGGTCCATGGGTGTTTTGGACTAGTGGAAGATCAATCCAATGTATGTGTAGAGCCACATCGTAGTCAATGAAGCAGCATTCCCCCATTGTTATGGTCGTATTTATTTCTGTGAAGTGGCTCTTTTCACGTTTTCTTGGCCTTCTAGTTAAGAACTAAAATGCGTCATGGATTCTGGGATTGTTTGGGCGGAAAATGAAGAAAACGCTTGGAAAAGCACTCATGAAAACAGCATTTATTTTTGGTAGCTAAGGACTACCGCTGTACCGAATTTCCCTATTGTAATTTTCGTAGTAGAGTTTCCGAATTCTGTTCGTATTACGTTCCATCTGTCAATCATCTGTCTGTTCACATACACAGCTTGTGGGGCTCATTAGGCACAGGTTGAGTCACGATGCAGATCCTTCAGCCAGCAGACTTGCACAATTAATTTTCAGCATTTAATTTGCCATGCCAAAAAGAAAATTATAAACGAAAAAAGCTGCTTAAATATGACAGACAGGCACAGAATGTTAAGTGTCAGCGGCTACACGAGAGGAGATTTTCAAATTTAATTATACCGGACGAAAAAGAGCAAAATGACACACTAATATCGCAATACTTACAACAACAACAAAAACATTAACTAAAATAAGAAACACATCCACGCATATTGATGGCCAGAATACTTTGGCCAAGCCACCAACTGACATGACGGGACACCCGAAAAGCCAAAAAAGCGTTCCCATGTGAGCCAAAAACTAATTTTCGTTCATTGACCGCACTTTTGTTGGGGGAAATTGAATGCGTATCGAGTTGCGTGCGACACCCTGTCAGCTGACAGCCTGGATCCTCTGCTCCTCTTGGCTAGCCTCCTGTTACGGGCGGTAGACCATTTCTATTCCTATTCCCAGTTGAGGCTATTT